TTGTCGGAAATATAAAATGTATTGGAACTCGCTACGAAACAGGAGAAAAGCTGGGCAAGACTCGCTTTTCGTCCTGTTTCAAAAGCTCGAATTAATAAATTTATATATTTTTTGATGGGTACATATACTGTATATATATATTTTTATATATATAGATTTGTATACGCTGAGTAATCCCGCTACTTCTGGATTGCGGAAGGCCTACCTAATTTTCGTCGTTTGATTTTTATCGACTTTAAATAACAAATTTAGAAGAAACTGACCATACCTCTTTTCGTCTTTCTTTCGAGATTTTTTGAAGCAGTTATCTTTCGTTTTACTATCACCTCTGCATATTTTCTCTACATTTCATATCTTTGATTCCGTGCAAATTCCGCCTTAAATATCATGATTCTAAACACTGCAAATATCGCATGATGAAAACAATTTCATTTTTTTTTTCTTTCTGAACATTATTGCCAGAAGGTACAGATATTGTATATGAAATATTTGTTGAGAATAGACTAAATTATAAGATTTATGACACTTTTCGCATGCTGGAAATGAGAAATCTCCAACAAATTGATTATCATGATTATATTGTAATGTCATAGGGCCATTAGTTGTCCTTGAAAGCAACAGCTGCTTTTGTGTTGGAAACTTGACGATTTTTCTTAAGGCTTGGCAAGTATCGACGTGATTGCAAATTGAACAGGTAAATACTGTTTATGTCTTTTGTAATTTCTTTATAAAAGTCGTCAAATTGAATAAGACCAACCTTGATGACAAACGACACAAATTCCATGACAATAAAAGATAGATCTGACAGTTAACTCATAAAAAGATATCCCGCCCCGCATTTCGATTATTTTCTCTTTAAAATGTTTGACCTGGATTATATTCATTTAATAACATCCTCAGGTAGTGTTCTTCGTGTAAAGTTCTATTAACATCCAACGAGCCGTTCAGGGGAGTTGTACTTTAGAGAAATTGCAATATCGAAGAAGTAAGCAAGTCGATTATCGCCCCTTTCATTTAAGTAGTTTGCTACAACTGTGGAAAGTTTCATCAATATCTGAGGGTCTGGATGGGGGTCGTTCATTTCTTTATTCTTTTATAGAATAAAGATGAGAATGGAAACGGGGAAGGTGTCCAAGAGACTGTTTTTCTCTATACTTTATCTATTTTGTCCATTATTCTCTATACTTTATCTATTTTGCCCATTAGTCTCTATTCTTTGTCTATTTTGTCCATTAGTCTCTATACTTTATCTATTTTGCCCATTAGTCTCTATTCTTTATCTATTTTGTCCATTATTCTCTATACTTTATCTATTTTGCCCATTAGTCTCTATTCTTTATCTATTTTGTCCATTATTCTCTATACTTTATCTATTTTGTCCATTAGTCTCCATACTTTATCTATTTTGCCCATTAGTCTCTATTCTTTATCTATTTTGTCCATATGATTAGTCTCCATACTTTATCTATTTTGCCCATTAGTCTCTATTCTTTATCTATTTTGTCCATTATTCCCTATACTTTATCTATTTTGTCCATTATTCTCTATTCTTTATCTATTTTGTCCATTATTCTCTATACTTTATCTATTTTGCCCATTAGTCTCTATTCTTTATATTTTAGCACCTCATTATTCTCTAATCTTTATTGTTGTTTGCGTATTTAAATTTTTTTCTCTTATCTTAATTTTTTTGCCCTTTATTCTGCACACTTTGTCCATCATTCTCAATTTTGTAAACCCTATCCACCGCTCATATCTGTTTATTTGTTCAGCAGGGTAATACACTTTCAAGGCACACGCATAGACGAACGAACAGGGCGATTCATATATGCACGCCATAATAACCTTGTTTGCTGGTGGTATATAAACAGAAATGCATATAGCAGACACAATTTTAGCAAGTGTGTCAATTTGGTACAAAAGCACAGCAAAATAATCAGAATAAGTAATTTTTTTACAATAGTTAAATTGGTTCCTCAAATCAAGGCTCATTACTCAAATGCTACTCATTTCATGTATTGTGATAAGATTTTGCTATCACTGTAGATTATAATTTAATTTCTAATTTGAAAAGAAGATGTTGGGTATAAGAAATAAGACGGAAAGCCAACGACACAAAATCACATCTAAAGGTCTAATGTTCAACAATATACATATATATTTTCACATCATGTAAAGCTTTAAATCTCCCAGAGTTTAGAAAACATATGTAATTAAATATAACAGGAAGTATATAAATTTGCAATCAACATCATATTCATCAAAAACGACGAGAAAAAAAAACTTATGGAATAATTTTGAGTACTTTGCTAATTTACTTAGCGGCCATATTGCCTTATCATGATGACAGCCATTTTAGAAGAATTATACATGCCCCTAAAATAAATATGCATATTCATGAGTCGCATCATCAATTTGTCCGCATATACAATGTAGGCGAATTGTACATTTGTTTTTCCCTCTGTTCGTGTACCAAGTCAGGAGCCTGTAGTTCAGTGGTTGTCGTTGGTTAATGTCTGTCATATTGGTTTTTCGTTAATTGTTTTGTTATGAATTAGGCCGTTAGTTTTCTCAATTGAATTGTTTCATATTTTTCATGTAGGGGCTTTTTAAAGCCGACTATACGGTATAGGTTTTTTCTCATTGTTGAAGGCCGTACGGTCGCCTATAATTGCTTTCATCCATTTTATTTGAACTTTGGTGGATAGTTGTCTCATTGACAATCATACCTCATCTCCTTATTTTCATCTTGACAACTTTGAAAACTTTCAGACTTTACAATTTTAAATTCGGAGGCGGAACCGTAGTATAATTGCTATATAAAATAACGAAAAAATTTTATCTTGCCTTTTTTCTCGGGTTTTCGACCAAATTCTTTTAAAAACATGATTTTACCTTAGAATTACATAGCATATTTGTACACATCCGCCAAAAGAAAGTTTTAAAAGACACATTAGTTTTAGATCCAAGACGGAAAATGTCTTGATTATCCGCAAATTTTATATAATATATATTTTTCAATCTATAACTAAGTGAAGTAATCCAAATAAAAAGGCTGACGTCACGTTGTGCAAATCCAAGGAATAAAGTATCTAAGATTTTGACATTTGACAAGAAACAAATAATAAACAAAAAAACAGGAAAGGCCAAAAAATAAAAAATAAAACACTCAAGAGGACCGAGGCAACTGAACAATGCATTTTGATAATCTTGCTTATCTTATATACGGGGGCGTTACATACGACGCCCGTGAAGGTAGCCTGTTCTCTGCACGTTAAAAAACCCTTTCAACAACTCTTTGATGAGTCAGTAGGTGGTCTGTTTTCTGTGTACTGTTAATCGTCTGTTAATCTTTCGTTTTTCTTTTTGTCTGTGTTCCTTCGTTTATGGTTTGATGGTTTGTAATTCCTGCCTTGTTATCTTCTAATGTTGGATAAAATTTTCGCCTATACGAACCGAAATCTGTATCGGAATTGTACATTTTTGACTGGGCTATACACAAGGTTATATGTGTTACCTGTCGCCTGGCGGAAAATGAGTACCGGAAGGTAGTAAAATAAATTTACGGTTTTCAATTTATCACATAGACTATATGGATTGGTGTTCTAGAATTAAAAAGAGCTTAGACAAAATGTCCATAAAAAGGGCTAGGGTAGATAGGGAGACGGGAAGCAGAACTATATGTTAAGCCTTGTTCAAGTTGAAATATAATTTTAATCTATAACTAGTAGTACAGAAATCTACTTGATTTAGCCTGTGTAGAATAAAGTTGGATTACCTTGACATTAATCTTTTTCGTATAAGTTTAATTTACTCTGACAGAATAAAATTTGGTATTTGAAATATTATAAAGTAGTCGTTGTTTAATATTTCATTCGTGCTATCAAGTAATTTCAAGGTTTTAAAATTACTTAAAATCATTGCTCTATATATTGGTAATTACATCACAAAATTGATTTGTTCAATTTCTATTGACATTTGTTTTGCAATGCAATTTACCTTTACATGGAAAAACGATTGCGTCAATGTAAGAACTTGTTAAAATGATACGTGGAATACATTGTGACGACGCAAAGCATTTCCACAGACTAGTATCAAAATAATAGGAGTCTTGGGGTTAATGCACATGGAAAAGCGATTGCAATTGTCAATGTGAGAACTTGTTAAAATTATGCGCGGAATACATTGTGACGACGCAAAGCATTTTCATAGACTGGTATTAAAATAGTAGGAGGCATGGGGTTAATGCACATGGAAAAGCGATTGCAATTGTCAATGTACGAACTTGTTAAAATGATACGTGGAATACATTGTGACAACGCAAAGCATTTTCACAGACTGGTATTAAAATAATAGGCGTGGGGTTAATGTCCATGCTACAATGGGTTATTCAGAATAGAGAATTATGGAGGTTAGAGAAATACGGGCAAGGAAATAAAGAAGAAATATTTCACCCGTTTCTTAGACTCGTGCAAAAACAGCTGAAATAAAGAGACACTAAACACATATTGCCTAGTATGTATATGTAGCTATTTATTCCGCTTTCTACGATCAATCATTATTAGGTTAGGTATACTACCCTCCTTTCGGAGTAGTGTAGTCCTACAGACAGATAGATTGGTTGTCCGTCTGACTAGTCTACTATCAAAGGAGGGTAGACGACCTTACTCAATAATGACTTCACGGTTCAGCTAGCAAGCAAGCTAACCAAAGCTATTACCTTTACCTACACACTCAAGGCATTTTGCTGTAACTGACGACAGAGAACATGTGTATTTATTGTGTTTGCTCTCTGGTGATTATCTAGACGTGTTATGCGTGTCTGTATTATATTCGAATCGCATGCACTTGTAACGCCATAATTGTTTGCCCCCATTTAGCATAAAAGTTTAGTTTGAGTGATAAAACTATTGTCAAAATTGAAATATATTCTGTAGAATTCAGTTCTGTTACATCATAATATTTAATTTAATTTAATTTCATCTGATTTGTATTTACAGTGAATACATTATAGTACGGTTGGATCATCAGATAGAAGATCTGGAAAACATATTGCGTAAGTAGTTTTTCTTGTCATCATGGTCATGGTAAGTTTTTGAAGATATGTACAGTAAAACCCAAATTGTCAACAACAAAAAATAACTAGTACTGTCTTTTAACAACTGCAGTTTGCGTTCTAATCGGGTTAAATAAATAAATGACCTTACACATGTAATTATTTTATGCCTTGAATATAAAAAATATTGGGATTAAACACCCAAAATTAATTAAGTAAATAAATCACATTATAAATTGATTAATTTTGTCATCAATGAGATGAAATTGAATAAAATATTGTGATGTTTTAGAGCTGAATCCTATAGAAATACATCTCAATTTTGACAATCATTTCATCACTTAATCTAACCTTACTTAAAGCTTCAATGTAAAATAGGGGCAACAATAATATCATTACAAATGCTTGCAATTTTGAAATGAAAATGCTCAGTCGTTACTTGTATAAAATATGCATAAGCCCCACATACACTTGTTTCTATCCATGGGAAGGTCGACTATCATAAGGTGGCTAACGAATGTCACGACGCTTTTTGTTACCTTTAACTTAATGCAAAAAATCCTTACCTTATATGAATCGATTCATTGAATATTTTCCTCTTTAACACTAAACAAATTTTATATCCCCCTCAGCGTTCCTCTTTATGGTACTAACCTTACTATCATTGACAAACATTCGTTAGCCACCTTTTTCTATTACATATGGATAGTCGACCTTCCCATGGATAGAAACAAGTGCCTGTGATAAGCCCTCAATTATAGAATTCATTCATACATTTTTGTATTATTCAAAATTATCAGTCAATATGTGTTTTACAAGGATCACAAGTCCCGCATCTTTCATCTGATACCTTAATTACTAAAATATGTTCTACATAGTTTTATATTTAAATCTATGCGTAGGAACTATTTTGTTTAAAATATATGTACTACTTTCAAGTATGTTCTTTTTTTACCTTACAAAGCTATGAAAATCTTTTTTGCAAAGAATTTCGCTCAAGCCGGTGCTACGGCCGTCTTAAACTTGCAGTGAGGTGAGAATTATTTTGCTCCGTGTTGAAGGCCTCACTGTGACTTTGAGACGAAGAACATGCACAGCATGTACCGATTTTGTGTCATGGATGGATACCCCATATCATCATGTTCCGTATTAACCCGAATAATTCAGTCCCACCCCGTGATCGACTCTCCCACTCGCGATGTAGCCATCGTAGAGCAGTGGAATATAACGACTGAATTATTCGGGTTAGTTCCGTATTTTGTCGCGCAAAATCAACCGATTTTCTCCTTATCGTTCAAAATATAATCTTGAACTGTGTACAAATGAGTCAACTAAGTAAGATTTTTGTAAGAGGGATAAAACCTTTTGAAAATATGTTCTGATATAGAAATAGATGCCGTCAATTAATCGATCCTGAGGATTTTTTTAAAAATTTTAATTGACTAGTGATTGTTAAACGCCATAACATATACATGTAGCGAATGCAAGATTCTTATCAAATTACGAATGCAAATATGACTAGATAATACTCAAAAGTAGTTTGTTAAAATACTTGAGAACAACACAAATAAAATGTGAAGTCTGAAGTATAGTTTGATTTTAAAATTTCAAAAGAATATAAAACTTAAAAAATACAGACATTTCCAGTCTGACGCCATCGGGGACCAACGAATCGAGTTTGTTTTTAATAGTATAATTGTATAGACATTCACGTAAGACAGAATGGGAATATTTTTTTCAATCAAACCACAAAAAGCTGATATAGGAGAAGCGTGTACTAATAAAAGAAAATTTAGAACTGACCTTTATACACAAATATTATGTTGTCAATGAAAGAAATGCCAACTTCTCGATTACCATAGTCATATACTTTGTGAACTTGCTTATTAACGTTATGTGAAATGCCTCATATTCCAAAAAAAAAATTTAAAAAAAAACATCAGCAAATGCAGTAATGAGATTCCAAATCTTAAATATACCATTTTAATACTCGTTAAAACCCAAAAAAAGTTTATGTCATATAAATACTGTGATTATTTATACGAGGCTGTCTGTACGTAAAAGCGTTTTAAAACAGCATACTGCCTAGAAGTGTTTGTTAAGTTTTGCAAAATGTATAAAATTAATACGAAGTCACTTTATATAGATATAAGAAGATGTGGTATGAGTGCCAATGAGACAACTCTCCATCCAAGTCAAAATTTAAAAAAGTAAACCATTATAGGTCAAAGTACGGTCTTCAACACGGAGCCTTGGCTCACACCGAACAGTAAGCTATAAAGGGCCCCAAAAATTACTAGTGTAAAACCATTCAAACGGGAAAACCAACGGTCTAATCTATATAAAAACGAGAAACGAGAAACACTTATGAACCACATCAACAAACGACAACTACTGAACATAAGATTCCTGACTTAGGACAGGTGCAAACAAATGCAGCGGGTTTTAACGTTTTGATGGTACCAAACCTTCACCCTTTTTCTGAAACAATAGTGTAACATCACAACATAGAAAGACACACAATAAAAAATCAACTGAAATAGCTTAACTCAATCAAAGGACATATTAACACCAGTTATAACTTATTTCAGGCATTAAATATCATGCCATGTTCGAACACGTGGTGCGTTAACTAGATGCACACGTGTGAATTGTGAATATGCAATGTTCCTTGCGCGTACACGATATCATAGATAAATCATTACAACTCGGTTGTTTGGCGCGCCGTAAAAAATAGTTCAAACCAACGCATTATAAAGCAAGGAGTTGCAAGCAACATAAAATGTATTTGAATTTTTTATATCTAGGGTATGCTATCCCTTAAAAATTGTCCAGGTTTGTTTGCACTCAAGGTAAATTTTGTGGTGTAAACACAGCCTTTTAACCAAAGGATGCACACGATCCTTAAACTTGCAGTTGGAGTTTACAGTTTTAAGAAAGGTTTTATTAATAGAAACATCTTGCAAGCAATGGTAAAAACTGTTTAAAAACGGTTTCTCGTACCGTTATTGCATTTTAATAAGGTTCATCGTACCAAAGGACACGTGAAAACTGACCGAGTTTCTTGGTTGGTAGAGGTTCCACGTGAAAGCGAACTAGATTGAACAGCTGTCAAAAAGGTATTTGTCGTTTTCTTTGCTATCTCATCGACGTGTACTCATGCGGGTGTGGATGATGGTTTACAGAATGGAGAATAATGGGCAAAAACTATAAAGAATAGAGAAAAATGGACAAAACAATAAAGAATCTTCACTCATACATGTTCTTGTGTTCATACTAACTAAAATAATTCGTTCAATTCTACTTTTTTAACTAGTGACGAATAGCATAACCACAAGGGTAAAGCACTGATCTTAAGGTGGTTCATTGGTTTATATTTCCTCAGATAGAATGTTCTTATACTTTGCCAAAATGTAGATCTTACAATGCTTTTTTCAAAAATATAATAAAAGTATGGGTCACCGTGCTATATTTTAAGCTACAAGTGGTCAATTTTGAATAGTTTATTCATGAAAAAAAACACTTTTTTTTGTGAATTACAAAAAATCTATGAGATAGAATTTTAAAATAAAATATGAGAAGATATGTTTTATAATACATTTAATATGCATTAAGAAAATAAAAAGAAAAGATGGTGTCACCCATCTTGTTTTCTTGTTTCAAATAAAAAATGAAAACTTCTGTAACATTCCTTTATAGAATATTTCTTAGAGTTATCTCCCCTTAAATGGGTAAGTTGAAAAAACGATTCTACAAAAACGAATATTTGGTATTAGTTAAAACAGTGTAAATAATGCAATACATAACTTATTTTTCTTTATTCAAATAAACAGTTTTGTACATTACTTGCCAATCTGTTTTAAAATTTGCAGATTAAAGCTTAGAACAAGACCGATTGTATACTGATATTTTACAATCCAAGATGGAAGTATACAGTTAATCGACCTCAAATCGTATAATAAAGCTTCAACGGTATTCATAAACGACTTTTGAGACGAACGAACATATAGAATTCTTTTTAACAAATTTTAAACTAGTTTACCTCTTTCTTACTTAAGCCAGAGTTCCTGACACTTAAAATATAATTGCATATTCATTGATTCATTATTTGATTTATGATTGAAATAAGTTGATTCGTTTTTTTTTTTCTTGTTTTTTTTTTTTGTTTTTTTTTTAATTCTGTTCCACGTATATGATTTTTAGATGTTCCAATTAGGCGCTAACTCTATGAAACCATTGTCAAAGATCTACATTATAGAGGGTCTGGGTGGGGGCTCCTTCAATTCTCTTTTTTTTTTTTAATTTTCAGACCATTTTTTCTCTATTCTTTACTTATTTTACCCATTATTCTCTGTATAATTAAGCTTCCCCTTTATTTCTATTCTTTATTTTGTTTGCCCTTTATTCTATTTTTCTGTAACGCTCATTCAGACCTTCATAATAGTAACTGACTGAATTGATTCGTTCAGTTCTACCTTTGGAACTAATGACGAAATGAATTACAAGGAAGATAAAACAATGATATGTTATAAAATAATGAACTTCCAACGGTATTTTTAATCGGGGTGCAATTAGCGTTTTGCTAGTTTTGTCGCTTCTGGAGGAACATTAGATATTTTTCGTGTAGGAAAACGTAATTAATATTTAATGGTATTTTCAAACGTGCTGTAAATAAGCGTTCTTGCTAGTTTTGTAGCTTCTGGGAGTACATTTGATAGTTTTCGTGTTGGAAAAATCTGAAGAAAGTGAATTAGCAGAATATATGGTATACTGTATGATAAAGAGATATCGATTGCTTCCCGGGAGCCAGTTTTCTGTAAATTGAAGTTTCATTAAAAGGATGACAAATATAACACAGCGAGAAATCTCAATTGTTCAAATTATCAGTCTTAAGAGTCGCTCGATATGTTTTTAACATCGCAGTAATTCTGTCGTTAGAAGGGATATTTTGTCAATGACGTTCAATGGAAGCGGTTGATTAATATAAAAACAATTTTCTG